CAGCATCATAACATTAACATTGAAAGCAAATGTTCTGATAATCTCTCACAGGAAACATCAGGTTATTTAAATACAAAGATAGGAAATTCACACACCATAACCGGAAGAAAGGATATAGTGAGCTAGTGAAATTCAGGAATGGGACTTTTTAACTGAAGGCAGACTCTTCATGACTCTCCAATTAAAAGTACATACTTTCAATTTGACTTAACATCCCATCTAAACCAAGCATGTGATAAATACATTTCATATAATCTTATGGCAAAAAGAACTAGGAACATGTCCTTCTTTATAAAATTCTGAAACAGTAAGAGTGTGCGGAGGCACTAAAAAGTAATCATTCTTCATTTGCATAATCCACTTAACACACACGTTCTGTTCACACAGTCTCTGTGATGGATTTTCAGATAGTACAGTGATAGAAATATGAATATTTAAGGTACGACACTTTCACTATCATAGAAACTAGAAGCTGACAGAGGCACCTTCAGGAATTTCAGGTTCAGGGAGACGCTTGCAGTGCACCAAAGTCTGTTGTTTGCTTGGAATCTCAATTCCTAAATGCCAAAAGTGTGCTGCAAGAGGTTAGATCCCAAATTCTCCTCCTCATCCAGCAATGTCAAAGATCTGGCAGTGATTTTTACCATCATGGCAGTAGACAAAATCTGATCCTCTAGCAGAAGGAAAATAGAATAACATAGAGACTTTGAGGGGAAAAAAAAAGATACAAACAAAAGAAAACTAACCCTGCAATTTTCAACTTTGAAATATAATTGCACTGCAGTGGGCAAGACAGTCTGAACAATAATGAGTTTTTGCACCTCTAAATGTTAGGTCACTTCAGAACCTTGACTTACATGTAGTGTCTTTCACAAATCAATATAGATATCTGCTTATTCTGTTAAGAAAGAGTTAAATAGTTTCAGCTGACCAAATCAGGCAGGTTATTATTCCTGTGAAGTATAAGGGAGGGCAGAGAAACTTGGTTCATCTCACTTGCAAAGAGCTGAGTCATCTTGAAATAAGATCCTTCGGCTCTGCTAAGCATGAAAAGGAGTCTTGAACTGGATTTCTGTATTAAGACCAGAAAGCAGAAGACAAATGCGTCTTGATTGTACTACACATAAGTCATGCTCTTGTTAGAGAAGTGTCGATATAGTCAGGATGATTAAGAGCAGTATGAGGATATTGTTACTGAGACAGCCCATGCCAAGCCATAAAAATCCCATATACGTTTACTCTTGGCAAGCTAATATGCCAACAACTCGTTCTCCTTACATAAATTGGTTCCCTAAGCTAGCCTGAAGCCCCACAGAATTACTTCAGAGGAAACATACGTTACAACAGATAAATATACACATCATATCAAACTAAACAGACTCGGTGTGAATCCCAAAGGGGAAGCTTATGAAATCCTGGCATGTGGCTTGAGAGGTCCTGGTCCTCATTTGCCACAGGCTTTGCAGTAAGGCTTTCACAAGACTTTATTCAAGGCAAGAGAAGAATAAAACTGAGCTACAGCTTATCTTGATACTACGTGTTGTATCTGAATCTTTCAGTTATACTGTTGCCATTTCATTAAAAATTGTACTGCTGTTTCATCAAAAATGGATTATTCTTTTTTTCTGTTATTAAAAAGGTAAAGTAAAACATTTGGGTAAAACATTCTGGTTCATTGGATTAATTTCTCTAAGTGTTTTTTAGCCTTTCCAGGCATTAAATTGTATGAATAGATTACACAAGGAGAAAAAATTGCCAGCTTTTTATCTGAAAGTAGACGCCACATTCTTCATATTATTTCCAGCTGCAAATGTGTACAGACTATACAGTCCCAGGTATATGACTATTCCAAATGTGCCATTTTAGTCTTGTCTACTAAATAACTTTTCCTAGGCCTATTGCTGCAACAGCTCAATTAAGAAAATATACGATAAAATCTATGCCACAGATTACAGTAGCTAATGGAGGATTGTAACAACATCTTGCAGAACTGGAAATGAATACCAGATTTTTAGCTGGAGCTCATTATTAAATAATGAAGTTATAAGCCTAGCATAAGCAGGTTTATAGTGGATTTTATGAAGCCCCAAAGACCAAATCGTTGTTTAATTTCATTAAAATGGGGGGAAGGCTTCCAAATGCATAAATCATTGAAACATCTTTTTCTGTCTAACATGGAACATTAATTAAACAAGCCCTTTTGGAAGCAGCAAAACAAAAGCCCAGATTTTTACAGACCCTGTCTTTTGTCCCTTAAATCTCCACACCCTGGTACCCCAATTCCTCACCAGGCAAAAGGAAAGAAGTACCTGATCATTTTGCCAGCCAGCTGTTGCCTTAAACAATGAATAAAAGCTGAATTCTGCATGAGTGGGGCATTCATTCTGGGTGTGCCCGTGCTACCCGTTGATTAAAAAGTTATGGGGAAACAGGAGAAGGGGAGCAGAGATTGATGGATAGAACTATGTAGCAGTCAAACTCCAATATGTGTATAACCTCACAGGTTTAAGGCATATGTCTTAATATTAATCAGATAACTTGAGCAATTGGCTCCCTGGGTGCTAAGCTATCTGAACTGGGAGGGAGGCCCTGCAATTAGTAATTTGTGAAAAACTAGCCAACCAAAAGACACCTCCTGCCCCTACGCAAAAAAACCCCAGCCAAACCAAAGCCAAAAAACCCAAAAAGCTCCCCACCTTTTTGGTTTGGAGCTCTTTCCCAGCAGGGTGACTAGCTGCTTCTGCAATATATTTTTTCCTTATGGAAAGGTACTCTAAATAACCTAGATATAGAAAAGTATGCTTCACAGCTGTAACATATTGTATTATAATGCTTGAAGTATATAAAAAGCAAATGTCAGTGTCCATATGCACATTCTCAATACTATAAGTAATACAAACAAGTGAAGAAAACTGCTACAGTTTTGATTAGACATGACATTACAAAGACTACAAAAAGTAGAGAAATCTGAATGGGGTATGGTGGTGAAGAGCAACTGTGCCCTGAAGGTTTGTATCTAATTTATTCTGCACTCTCTGCCTGTACTGGATGCAGTAGTTATTTGCAAATATATAGACCAATATCAGCAGTAGTGGCACGTTCTCCTAGGCATTTCTGTTGATGCAAAACTATTTGAAGGGTACGTTCTTATTCCCTCTCCACATTCTCAGTTATCTCATGGCAAACACTGAGGCTGGTCCTGCACTGGTATGCTATAACCTTGACAGAATCCTGATTTTCAGAGATGTTTATTTCATGGTCCAGTTTTCTAAAGAGTAACTAAAACCAGCTACAGGCTCAGTTTTCTGAAACATCCTTGAGTCACTAGTCGCTTTGAAAATATTTGTCTAAAATAAATTTTGGAAATATTTCCAAATATTTTTCAAGAGCACTGAAACATCGAAGGCTTTTTGCAGTAAACATCAAAGTTAAACTGAAAACGCTCTTAGATAAGCTAAGACACTGTCTATGTGTGTTACCCAAGAAAGTTAGCAGTGATAAAGCTTTACTGGGGAACTAATGCATTGATTTATTAATTGAAAAGAACACAGTAAGTTGACAATTTCTGCCAGTCAAATTCCATGTTTATGGACTAAAAGTTTGCTCATCGTCTGTAACTAGCACATTTATTGAGTTAGGTGATGCTACTTAATCAAATTCCAGTATGTTTAACCATCTGGTAATTGGCAGGGCGAAGAAAAGAGCATGTGACAAGCCCGATATTATAGGAACAGTCCTTGAAGATTATGTAGATAATAATTATATAATACCAAAAAATCAAGCTGAATTGGGTGTGTATGTGTGGAAATACACATAATAAGAAAATGGTGTAATAAAGGTACTGACTCTGAGAATTCTTAGTCTACTGGGCACCATACAAGAAAGTGAAGCTTGGATATAAAAACACACAAAGTACAAAATACTCTCAGCATTTTTTGAAACAAATATAATTAATTTCATAATAAAGAACAGAAAGGCCATTCCTGGAAATTGAAACTGTCTGGAGTAGTTCTGGCTACAATTTGAACCAGTTTTATTCTGGCCACTAAAGTAATTCATGTAATGTAATAACACATTTTTCATTACATCTCTAAATTCATTGAGATCAATGGCATGGATAGAGAACACTAATACACTTTTTTTTTTTTAAAAAAAAAAGTTTTTATACCATGATGGGCCCATCTGTTCTATTAGCTGGAAGCAGACTTTGTGCAGTGTTGACAACCCAGCCTAAACCTTATTTCAGTCAAGGACAAACACTTCGGTAGGAATTACAGATGACTTTCCACTTCTTTTGTAACATTTCACAAAAAGTGTTATTTTGGCTTCAGGTTAAAACTAACAAGGCACAGTCTTCTGGATGGATCTCATGGCTAGAAGGAACCTGTATGAACACCGAGCTGGAAGAACGCAAGACATCAAAGCGAGTAACAGCTGCTGGATTCCTTTCGAATGACCTAAGATGTTAAGCAGTAAAAATGAGTTGATGGGTCAAAAACAGACAGATGTGTCTTTGGAAAAGGGGGATTGACTGGTACCAAACTAAGCCATAGAAGGTGCTCGTAATGAATACAGTCACAGAAGGAATCATATTGTGCCTATGTTGCATGTTCTTATAGCATTAATACCTATGGATCCAGCCAAACACTTACTGCTTTAAAATACATTTTTCAAGCAGAGTTATATAAATAAAACTTCCAATTATAAACACACACTGAAAATAATAAGAAGAATCCGAGTTTCAAAGATGAGAAACTACTCAATCTGTATTAGAATGACTGTGTACAATTTTCAAAATGGCAAAATGTACTGGGAACAGAACATTCAAAATTGTTTGCCTGCCACTCATGTTAATTTGCCCATAGTTTTCTATTGCATCACCTCTAAATCACTTCCATTACCTCTGAATAGTGAGCACTGCCAGCCCTCTGAGACAAGTCCCTGAATGCATCAAATGATACAGCCATAAGAAAGCCAGGAAGTTCAGCATGAATTCTTACCTTATTCATGTCAAATGTGTGAAATACTTGTTCAACGTAGCTGTTAGCTTCTGGAGTAAGTCCATGTAGATCCAGGACGTGTTTAAATTCATGCAGACAAAGCTGTCCAGATGGGCACTCTTTCATAAATTTTGTGTACCAATGGTGAATTTCCATAGCATTAATGTCATCCGCCGATCCAGCAGCACCCATAGCATCAAACATACCAGGTAACCTTTTTCAGTATTTATTCATCCAAAAGTTCATTCTTGCTTCCCAGCAGTGATCATTGAAACATCAATTCTGCCTTTGAGAGCTACTTTAAGCCGCTTACAGATCACTACCAATATAGACTCAGTAAATATAGCACCCTAGCAAGACTGCTGGCACCCGGGTTTTAGTGCCTCATGGTTTTATCAGCTGATTACAGTCTTTCTGCACAGTCAGTTTGCAAAGCCTCAGCAGGGCATGAGGACCGATTATGCTGATTCTTACCTTGCGTTGGCATCCGTGGTGCTAAAACTAAGTAAACTGGATGAATATTGAATAAACAACATGCAGGGTCTTTGAGAGTAGTTTCTAAACCTTTGTTTTAATAATTCACAAGATTTTAACTAAACCTTCAGCCTCATTTTTATATTTGGATGCCTTTTGTGCAGCTGCTTTGTAGTATTACTTCTGTGTGTACTGTGGTCCAAATCTTACCTTGCAGGCCAAAACTGCAACATGATTTGACTTGGATAGCCTGAAAAGAACTAAAGCATCTATAACTAAGCACAAAAAGCTTGCCAATGTCTTTAGACAGAAGTTCTACAAGGATCCGAGTCTTACATAAGCCAATGATGTCCTAAAAACTGCTCCCCCACTGCTCATTCAGTCCCATGCTTTCCCTTCCCTTAGGCCAGCAGGAGCGTTTGTGGTTGCACTTGGGAACAGCTTTAAGAACAGATCCAGGCACAAGCTTGCAGTAAAATTTAGATCTCACAAATACAGTTAGCTTTAGACAACAGCGTTTAGATTTTGCGTTGCCTAGTCTCAGAAAACCTTGGGTGGTACAAGAGAACAGACTGAGCGGGTGTGGAAAAGGGGGGCCAGCAGTAGAGGGTGTGCAGGACTGCTTCTTTTGCCAATTTAAATTTCTGTGGAAACTTGTAGTGTAATGTCATAATGTCTGTGCTGTATAGTGGTACATAGCAGTTTACAGTTTTATAGCATTTAAGCCTTACAGCATATAATATGGCACGCAGTAGTTAGACACTAAACTGTTGGAATGTAAAAATACAATTGTTACACTTAAGTCTACTGTAAAGGTGTTGTCTCACCGATGGCACTCTGGTGGTGCCTCACAAGAGGAAAAGCGAGCACTACCCGAGAAGCGTTTCTGCCTTGCTCGGCAGAGCAGAACGCAGTCCGGCTGCCCCAGAGCGCCGTACAGCCCCACGAGCTGAATTTTCCTCTGGGCCAACGTTCAGCTGCAAAAGCGGTATCGACAGTCGTGAGAGACAAATTTCTTCTCAAATCTGCAAAAAAACAGAATGGTACTTTTGGACACGTCACAAAACCTGGTTTTCAGGTGACACGAGGGATGAGCAGTGGTGTGTCCGTTGGGTGTGCGCAGTGAGGGTGGAGTAACTGAACCCAGGCAAGCTGCAGCACAGAGTTTAAGGCAGGCTGTATGTCACAGCATGCAGACTCACGTGGCCATTCAGTGTTTTGAGCTCTATTTAATTCTTTAGGCAAATAAGGAGTTGGGACACACTAGTCCTGTAAGAACAGAATTTCAAAATATTTCTGAGAAATAGGTACAAGTCTTCACTGCAAAAGGTGACAGGGCTGGAACAAGCTGGGCTGTGACTGGAACAGGCTTTCAGCACGTGTTTACAAATACATTTCATAAACCGGAGTCTGCAGCCAGCCAGGGCAATGCTGCTGAGGAGGGAGAGAAGGGGAAAAAAACACACCTGAACGCCTGGAGGACTTCTATAGCCACATATACGCTAGCTATCTTTAAAAGGTGATTTTTCTAATCTCTAGTCTTTTCTTGCACCCCTTTCAACCATCTGCCCAGGGCAACAATAGCTGTCTGGTAACATGCTGTCAGTTATAGGATCAAGGCCTTCAATACTGAGAAGCAGCAGGGGTTAACTACATAAAACGCTGAACAACACCAGAATAAATCTGAAACGTGAATTTGGTATTTGGAAAAACTCCACTTCAAAATATCACTAGCAGGCATAGAATGCTGTATTTGTAATAACCAAGAATGGCAAGCAAAAAAAAGGTAGTTTGAAGTAGCAATCTTCAGTCTTTTACCTTTGTTCATCAAATATAAATTTTCAATAGCTAGTGGTTGAAAACGCCAACACAGAATTTTCCAAGTGTATACCTACCAAATTTCTTGTTCAACAAAAAGAGGGAATGTTTTAAAACTCAAATGTTACTCAGACTTCCATTTTTTTCAGAAATAACAATGGTGTTCAAAGGAAGAATCAAAGATTTCAACTTTCAGAAGGCATAGGCAATTTTTTTTTTGAAAATACAGGAGTACAATTATTTTTTTTACATTTTCATTTTCAAATGTACTTATGAAAAATGTGACAGCATAAATGTGTGTATCAAAGACTAAGCTATCTCAGTCCATGAAGACATGCATATTTCTTTCATATGGCATGGAAGAATCTCCTAACCCTGTTATTGTCCTTACAGAAGACAAGGTTAAAATGCCAGAGAAATCCACATTTTAATCATCCGTTTGAGGAATCTGAAAAAAAACTTACATTTTACACTGCAGCATTTGACTAAATCAGCATATGAACAAACACGACGTGCTTATCATTGAAGGTTATAACTCAAAAAGAACTAAGAGAGAACACCCAGAAGACTTGAAGCAGCAGTACACTAGCCCAGAATAAAATGGAAACATGGAAGCTAGAATAAAGTTCAAGTAGGAGAAGCTGCTTTTAAAGGAGTCCATGTAGGCCATGTCCCTGTTAGCACAGCTTTACTGGGGGATTATAGTGTTGCAGAAGACACAGATTAGAAGCGCTATGCTGGCAACACTGTTCTTTTTAGCAATTTAATACTATCCTTGGTTTCACTCTGAGGAAAAGATACTTCTCTAGCTAAAGCATGGTTTTCCTCAGACTTATCATATCTGTGCATCCAGGTTAGTTGGGGATTATATTTCTTCACATGTATGACCTTACAAGCAAAGTCCAGAAGCAGAATGACGGAGAATGCAGAAGTAGTGAAGAACTGGCATTGTAGGTCTGCGGGCAATGTAATATAAAGGGGAGGGAAAGCAGCTAGAAGAGGAAAAGAAACACATAGGAGAGAGACTGACAGGACTTTGAGAATATAAAGCACTTCAAGAAAGGTTGAAAAAAAAAAAATTCTGCCATAAAAGAAGTGTGAGGCCTGGAAAGAAGAAGCTGAACTTATGGATCAGAGTGAAAACCAGAATTTAATTCCAAAGACTTAAATCCAGCATCAACAGCTGTACACAGAAACCTATTGCCCGAGTAGTGCCTTTATCAAATACATACCATGTGCTTAGTTTCCTCTGAACATGACTGGGGAAAAAAAGCCAGGTAACCTGGAGCCTCTCATCATTGTACCAGATGGCGCCATCGTATGTAATGGAGGTGACTCAATGCTACTAATGCAGGTTATAAAATAAAGGCCTTGGAGGCTCTGGCAATCTTTATCTAGGAAGTTTCAAGTTTCTATGCATGAAGCTGTGAAATATAGAGGAAAATGTAATGAAGCATTTGAAAGATAAAAATTGCAGACAATGAAGACAACGATATCAGGACAGAGAGATTAACAGCTGTTTTATGGAGAAGCTTCAAGGGACTAAACTCTGACCCCAGCTTTTTCCCCATAGCAAAATTCTCACTAAATCTCTCTCAGTGTTATATATTAGCATCATCAGTCTCTGCAATCCACAGGAATAAGATGCTTGGACTTTAAGGATGCGGGAAGACATCACCATTTAGAATTTTTATCTGATCTCTTTGCTGTAGTGACAGGTAACGATCTTAACTGTGATCATAAAAATTGCAGGTCACGGAACTGAAAAGTCTTATTTTCCTTTAACCTCAAGACAGCCTTTCTGGAATTTTTTTAAATATTCCTCCAAAATAATTTGAGAGAGGATCACTCAGATTTCTTTAGGAATAAAAAAAAGAATGTTTGTGTAATTGTACTGTGCAACTGATTACCCCAAGGTGGTATGGAGGCTAAAAGTAAATATGAGTTCAAAAATCAATTAGTAAATTTAATGGAGGAAAAGCCCATCAAACCCATTTATTGAACTGGTTATTTGATTGAGTGGCCACAGGCTGCTGGAAGCAGAGATAGTAATGGAGGGGTACCCGTTTCCTAGGCACACGTTTCTGGATATTGCCAGAGATAGGAGAGTGAACCAGAAGTACTTTTGACCTGACCTGAAGTATGGCTATTTTTGTATACCAGACACGATGCAAAGAGCATTTAATTGGCTTATCTTTATCCAGCTGGTGGTCAGACTGAACAAATGAAGAGCAAACATTTTGGAAAAAAGGACACTATTTCGAAAGTCCTGTCTTAGATGGTTGTCTGGGTACAATGCAGGCGAACCCAGTTTATTGGTAATTTGCACATTTATCATAAAAGCATTGATGTAAATTATTTTTATGTGCAGTTTCTATTTGCATCTTCCCATCATTTTTTCACACAATCTTAGTGATTCCTTATTAGGGCCCTTTCTGTTTTAATTTGCCTGTAAGCTTCTCAGTGTCCTTGTATGTGAAAATATGCCTCTCTGAATACACAGTAATAAACCTGTAAATTAGTGGCTTATTACTGTGTTATGTCCTATATCTGTTTTCTTAAGTGACAAAAAAATACATATGCAGAAATCTGTCTGCTACCAAAGTCATGAAGCATACAGGGACAAACACAGGGTTCTACTGATATCAGCTAATAAGAGAACAAAAATCAGAAAGAGTTGTGATAGCCTACACTGAGGAGATTAGTAGATGGAAATTAACCCATAATTCTTGCTCTTCTACTGTTTTCATTATTATTAATAATTAATTTGCAATGATTCTCATAAATGTCATTAGATGCTTGGTAAGGTTACTTAATATTCTTTATAATCAGTGAAGCCCTTTATAAAGTATTGAGGTGACTTCATTGTCTTTCTGGGGCTCTTATGCAACACAGACACTACTTTATCTTAA